AACCTGGCTACTAATTGTACAGCCAAACCCTTCTTAATGGCAAACCCCACCCTCCCAAATATATATTTGCCCTCATTTGCATGCCGTGACGTGTACAAGGTTCAGCGTGTTTTCCACATTTTTCCTCAGCCGCCGCAGTAGCAGCTCAAGCCTGATTTGGGCTAATGGGGATACTCCTGTTACGTCTAGACAGGCGTGTTTGTCCCTATTCCAATTATATAGCATAATATCGGCTGGTCGTTTACCATCTGTTGCTTTTCCATCGGCGGAAGTGTTCGAGTCACCGAGGAAAGCAGTGGGAGCTTCTTTCTTAGCACTGATTCCAGCCCTCCATACTATATCAGCCAGCATGTCATGCACATGCTCGCTACTACTCGTTGGAACGACTGTACGATCGCTCAATGTGTAGTCACTTTAATAGATCTGATGCTCACTCGAAAGATCTAGGCCCAACGATTGTGTGGCAGTGTCTCAATCTTGCTGCGAGACTTAAGTCATTTTTGGCACGAGGCGACGAGATTGTACGTGGGTTTTTTTTGGTAGAGCGTGTCTCGACAGCAAAAATAGCAGATGAGATCATTCATGCGATCTAGGTGATTGGTTTGGTTAGATCCAACGGTGGAGACAAGCCTTAACAAGAAAACAGACTGATGCGAAGACACTGAAGTGTTAACATATTCATTCTATTTTCTTGCCACAAAACTACGGTTCAAAACTATTTCAACTATTTCCATGTGTACACAAAGCAAAACATGTCCGCGATTTCGGACTCCATCAAATATAACCTTTTTCCGAACCAACTTGCATCCTCCAAAACTATTACTTACAGCTCAAGCGGGAGCAGCGACTTGATGATTCTCCTTGGACTCCTTGGTATCATCACCAGCAATAGAGGTATCAGGCTTTAACCTTGAATTTTCAGATATAATAGCACTAGCATGACTATGGTTATGATGTCGATTTATATAAAGGGCTTCAGGGTGAGCAACACCGGTATTAGCACCACAGTCTGACCCTTCTAAGGCGAGACATTCTATCGACCTAAACCAGGGATGATCTCGTACTTCAGACATGGATGCCCTTTTGGACGGGTCAGGATTCAGCATGTGGTGTATCAGTTCTCGAGGACCTCGACTGAGATTCTCTATGGGCGGAAATTTATGGTCGTCTCGGTGCTTGACATAGTACTTGTAACAAGGGTCGTCCATTGTTGGTTGTGGCCACGGTATACGATTGTGAACCATTGCAAGGTATCTGTTAGTTCGATAAAGCAATGTTAGCGGTGTGGATGGAAGCTCGGCTGCTCTTTAGAAAGGCCCTTGTTCTAAAAGACTCGCAACAAAGTTCTTTTCCTTTGGCATGCAGCGAAGGTAATTCGAGAAGAGTCTGGACCCAAGTGACAGCTCGAAAAACAAAACGGATTAAAACCAAACGGCAACTTACATTATTCCACAAGCCCAAATATCCACCGACCTTGGATCAAACTCATTCTTGGTGAACTCTTCAGGAGCCATATATGGAGCACTTCCTACATGCCTCTTGGACATTTGAGGAGTACTTCCAAATGGACCTTGAAAGACTTCAGCTTCTCCAAAGTCTGTGATTTTGAGACATCCCTTTGCATCCAACATTACTAATGCAAATTATGAGTTGTGAACAAATTGTGCAGATCGAATGCATGCAAATGCACGATAGAGAGTAATGGGAATGCAACTTACAGTTTTCAGGTTTCAGATCTCTACAGAACGTGGAGATCGAGGTCAAACTCACATCGCACAAAAAAATTGAGCAGTGTATGATCGTTCCATGCTTACCGATGGGCTACACCCATAGCATGCATGTATGCTACTCCATGTATCAATTGAGCAAAGTACACGTCAGCCTTTGAGGGCTCAATAGCGTTGTCTTGAATCATAGTACAGAGATCGCCACCTGGTTGTCGGTAAACTTGGTGTGTAAGGAAAACTGCCTGCGTCGAGATCGATTGGAAACAATTGACTTCCAAGTATTTTCACTTACCACTGCAGTATTCCATAACCTCCCACACACCCTCCTTGGTTGTAATCAAATCTACAGTCTCAACAACGTTTGGATGATGAAGAGTTGAGCCTAATAGATTTGGATGTTTGAGAATACAGTATCTAACAAGATTTGAAAGATGATCAGGGACCTACCGATTGTGAATTCAGCAGCGACTTTCTTCATGTAGTCTTTTTCTGATTCTTTACTTTTCGGTTTAGCAAACTCTTTGATGGCATATAGAGTTTCAGTATGGAGGACTTGATCTTCTTTATGAGATACCTTGACTACTGCATTAGCACCTCGTCCAATCACCCGATCTTCCAAAACACCATACTTTAATGACAGGTTTGATTCTGATGCCGATCGACGAATTGTGCGTTCGTTCCTCAAATCATCGAGACGGCCATGACGACTCCTAGCTCGGGGTCTCATGATTGGCGGTGGGCTCTTACTACTTCTATTTTCTATTGGTGACGGAGGAGAGCTTGGTGATGGAGTTGCGACAGGTGAAGGTGGTGTTGCTATTGGACCACGACCACGTGCGGTTCTAGAAGGTGGGGAGGAGATGGGCGCAGCATTATAACTACTATTGTTACTATTATTTTCCATCAACACTGGAACCGATCCAGTTCGTATCATACGATGTGGGTGGGAATTCGTGTGATGGAGTGTGTTTTGCTGGAAGAAGTGTTGAAAGAGGGACATTGAAGGCGTTTTCACGAGAGGGGGAGGAGACGAAGACGAGCTATCTTTACTAAGAAGACGTGATTTTGACAAGGTTCTGCGAAGATCACCAAAAACCGTGTTATTTGTGCGAATGGAATCTGACGAGCCCCGGATGGTGTTCCGCGTCAGTTCACCGCCATCTGAATCAGAATCGGTATCTACTATACTATGTGCCAGCGCTTGTGGGCTTCCAGGCGGCGAACGTTGGACATCAGTTGGAGAAGTGTTTAACATATTGGCGAACAAACTCTTCAAGGGCGAGATGCGCGGAGATCCTAAACACGATAAGCACGTTGCTCGTTAGCAACAAGTACTGATTAACACCACTATCACCGCAAAAGTTTTTCAAATTGACATGTGGGTATACCTTGAGAAGATTCCGGCGAGGAAGATTTCTGTTCCACGTCAACAGACAGAGACTCCTGACTTGGATAACTTGGAGTAGATGGCTGTGTACTGTCATTACTGCTGGAGCTCGCTTCCCGTTCTAAACAAGATTCCTTTGGACCATCAAAATTGCCAATGGTGTCTTCCTGCCAAACTGAAGATGACAATGGAGATCTTTTGATGGGAATTGGACTAGCCACATCATGCACAGACATGCTGTCTATCTTGCCACCCTTCAATTGTATGCTATATCATTAGCATCAGGTTTTTCCATGAGACACACCAACCGATGATGTGAACTCGTGTTTGCTTACCAAACCAAGCCTCGCTAAAGATCCAACCGACAAACTTTCAGTAAAATTTGAACATTAACCATATATTTAGTGCATATTTCCACCGTAAACGACTGACACAATCCCACTCTTGTCGCCCCCTTGCTTCCCAAGCTTGATGTGCTGTATCTTGGTGTGTTGATCTGGCCACCAAGTAAAATCATGACAACAGCATGGAAACCCAACACGAGAGACCTGATGGATCTTCTACGTCCCTCGACGTGATTTCCTTCACCATCTACTGCAATCAAGCCTCTTCATTCTTAGATGCCTTGAAACAAGCAAGAATACGTCATTCACAAATGCCCTCTGGAACTCGATCACACTACAAGAAAGAGCCACAATTCAAACCTGTACGTGGTTGCTGGAGACAATATTCACTAAAATGCAACATCTGAACTGTCGATCAAAAAACAATGATCCCAAATAGTCAGCTTCCAGTTGGAGTAGGGCCTACCGAATACAAGGTATCGAGATTGGAGCCTGAGTTTCTGTATACCTACAGCATAATCAAAGTATCAAGATGGCATTATAAACCATGGTATCAGAAATCACATTTGGTTTCAAGGAAGAGCACCGTTCGCTCACAATACCCGATATTAGGCTACTGCTCGCAATCCTACAGCATCACATACTGCCCTTGTACATGCTGCAGAGATGGCAAGACTCTCAAAGAGACGATGAGCAATTTGAGTGTGTTTTTATTCAACCAATACGCTAATATATCAGCTCGCCGATGAGGCTGAAAAGCATGGAAGTCATATCGACCCCAAGAAGGAAGCGCTTGTTTGAGATATGAAGGCTGAGAAGTTGGAGGAACCGTTGCATCGTGACAAATCCTCTGACAAACCCTATGATGCAGCAACCTCCAAAGCCAAGGAAGAAGAATGAGGAGATGTAATTTGAATGTTGCTAAAGCTGTTATTTTTGGTATATATTGTTCTGCTCTCTGGTTTAAGTTGTTGATAAGAGCGCCTACGTGTATGAAAGGCGTCGGGTTTTGGTGTGCTTGATTGCATGACGACTAAGGATTATGACGTCCTTCGTAGTACAGATTGAATATTTGCAGCTCTTGGGGCCAGACTGAGCCTTTATCTTTATGTAGGTCTTTTGGATGCGAAGCAGATCCGCTGTGAATTTCATTTTTTTGTGTTTGGAATCGACAACTCTCACCTCCAGCTACATATGCACTTGAGATTACATCCAGGAGTGGAAGAGAACCTGCCGTCTTCCTTTCTCCTTCCCCATTTTTGAGTTTGAATGTCCAGCGCGAGCAGACCTGAAGTTGAGATTTTGAAGACACGTATTTTTGATGGTCGTTCGAGATAACGGACGTGTCTAGCGGCTTATAGATGTCAAAGTATGAGTGAATGGATATCGAACTTTACGAATGCACGAGTTTTTGCCTCTGGTGCTCATTTCTCCCAAACTCCCAAAAGCACATAAAACATAACACAGCAGCCCCCATGCAAAAGATGCTAGCAAATCTATTTCATATAGGCGAGGAAACGAGCATGGCCATGGACGAGTCCACCGAAGATACTCAAGTTCTAACTCCCACAGACGACCCCATAATCATTCAACAAGCACAATCAACTCGCGGCGACGCAACACCACAACCACCTCCTGCCGCTCCTGTTAAGCAGACCCAGTCTTCGGAAATCAAGCCATCTATACAATTCATGAACGATATGGTCGAGTTTGGTGCTAGTGGAGTCAACAGAAGGCATACAATCGGAACAACCACTATTATTGTTGACGGAAATGGACCAACAACTACTGAACCAGAGGTCATGAGCAAAGTAGGAAATGTCGTTATCTCGGCTGTACCTCCAGATCATTATATTATTGGAGAAGGTGGCAAGCTGTATTTACGCTACTCGCTTGTAAGTTGACAGGTAAACTTCGCACTTGAACATAAACAAGACTCATTTTGATATGTCTTTTGCTCGATAGAAATCTAGCAAACAAACAAAGTTGGCTCCATTCCTCTTGTTCTCTGATGTCAAGAAGAAGGTTTGTGTGAATCGAGCTGTTTCCTGTCAACATGAGACAAAAGATGCGGAACAACAAACGAACTGATCGATTTCTTAACTATTTTCCTCTACTTTGTAGGAGATTTATAATACATTCAAAGCAAAACGAACGAAATTTACTTCAGATGTTGCCGAATTCATGGAATCATATTTTACAAAGGTATGTGTGATAGACCACCCAAAAAAGCGACTCCCATACAGTGATAATAACACTTGAACTTCCATCAAGGAACGTCTTGCTCTCTATGCAGATGCTCCCGTACCACCACCAGCACCTCCTGGTTCCACTACAGGTTCAAGCTCAAAGAGTGCTGGAAAACGACCTGCAAATCCTCCAAGCAGCAAGGATGCAAAGGACCCCAAGAAGCCTCGAATCGCCAATGGAACTACACCTAGTAGCAGCATTGGTGTTGGTACTCAACCTGCTAATACTACCAACAACGCGGCTCGTCCTATTCCCGTGATACCATCTCCACCTTTGAATGCTTTGGGTGAACCAATTCTTACTGAACCTCTGGACGAAGTACGTTAATATTGGTTGTAGTGGTTACTTGACCTTCAAGGTATTCAACGTCGTATGTTTCATGTTTCTTGCTTTTGTCTTGTAGGCTGGAGTCATTTACGCAAGGATTCGAATGGATATGATGTATGAAGAAATCAAGCAAAAGATTGGTGGGCTTGCCAACATGGCCAAGGACTTGCGAGTCCGAGGAAAGGATCGTCTCTCTCGTAAAGAAGCATACAAGTTATCTCACTATGATGCAAACAAGATTTGTGTCAATCTCTTGGCTGATGTCAACAATGGTGTCAATGACCTTTGGCCTTTTAAGCCAGTTTAATGGAGCTCAGTGTAAGTTGGACTCGTGCTTGCACGAGGTGGCAATTCCTGCGGATTGTTTGACTCTTTTGTTTTGTGTAGTAAAGGTGGGTATCGAAGAGGTCTAGATACGGAAGGGTGTTGTATTGTTGTATATTATTTGGTTTCGTTTGTATACAAGGGAGCGCAAAATATCGGTATTTTTAAAATGGAAATGGGTCAACAAGCGAGATGCGAGAACACCAGCGTTGATTTCACGTTAACGTACTCATTATCAGCATTGTATTGCAAATCTGAAGAAGAACGGGTGTCCCTCTCTCTAGAAGTTAGCTGGAAGTCCTCAAAGTCCTGAGGACTTCCAAACCTCAAAGCCGGTCGCAAAGTTAGCAAACAATGAGCGCAGAAGAGACCGAGACCGAAGTTCCCAACGTTGAACCTATTGCTACATTTGCATCGTTGGTAACTTCTTCCTTTTCGCTTATTCTTGAAACTTTCGCTTAGATCTAAATTTCACAACTTTTCCGCTAGGGTGTCATCCCCCAACTCTGTGAAGCATGTACAAGATTAGGCTTCAAAGGTCCTACTGATATACAAAAGGAAGCCATTCCAACTGCTTTGAGAGGTATACATTGCAAATCGATCGAGTTAGACAAATCATTAACTTTTTTTTTTGTGTCAAAAAAGGTCAAGATGTTATTGGGCTAGCTCAAACAGGATCAGGCAAAACAGCCGCTTTCGGAATACCGATATTACAGTCCTTATGGGAGGCTCCACAGCCTTTCTTTGCCGTTGTGCTGGCTCCTACTCGGTATGAGATCCAAGGAGAGTGCAGACAGGTTTTTTGTTCAAGACTCTTAACATAATGCTCGTTTTTTAGTGAATTAGCCTTCCAAATAGCAGAACAAATGGAAGGTCTAGGAGTAGTCATGGGCGTCAAATGTGCCGTCATTGTCGGTGGAATGGACATGATGGCTCAATCTATCGCTCTAGGCAAGAAACCACACATAATCGTCGCTACTCCCGGTCGTCTAGTCGATCATTTAGAAACTACAAAAGGGTTTTCGCTAAAGAGTCTCAAATATCTGGTCATGGATGAAGCTGATCGGTTGCTGGATATGGATTTTGGGACTGAGATTGAAAAGATCTTGAAGGTTGTTCCTAGAGAGCGTCATACGTATCTGTTTTCTGCTACCATGACTAGCAAGGTGGAGAAGTTGCAGAGGGCGTCGTTGGTTGATCCGGTGAAGGTGTCTGTTGATACCAAGTGAGTGTCATGATAACATCAGATGGTTGATTTTATGCATTCCTTTGAAACCGACACTCACAACCATTTCTTCAAGGTATTCGACCGTATCAACCCTCCTCCAATACTACCTCTTCTTCCCATTCAAACACAAGGAAGTTCATCTCGCATACCTCTTAAACGAAATAACAGGCCAAACAGTCATTGTATTCACCACAACAGTATCAACAACGCAGAAACTAGCCCTCATGTTACGTAATTTGGGCTTCCCGGCTGTCTGTCTGCACGGTCAAATGCCGCAAACGAAACGATTGGGTGCTCTGAACAAGTTCAAATCTGGAGGCCGTAATATACTGATTGCTACCGATGTCGCATCTCGTGGTTTGGATATTCCGGGAGTTGATGTGGTTATAAACTATGATGTGCCTATGAGTAGTAAGGATTATATTCATCGGGTGGGACGTACAGCTCGTGCTGGTAAAGCTGGGAAATCTGTTACGTTGGTTACGCAGTAAGTTTGGGTTTGCAGTGTTACCGTCACTATCTCTCTACATTCTGAAATCTTTTTCTCGCTTTTAAAAACAGGTATGACGTAGAACCCTTTCAGAGAATCGAACACACTCTATCCAGAAAACTCGAAGAGTTCCCACTACCAGGCGGCAAAGATGCTGTCTTGTTACTACAAGAACGTGTCGCTGAAGCTGTTCGTATGGCTCATATTCAAATGAAGGAAGACTCGTCTGATCGCAAGACAAAGAAACGTGGTCACGGTGGTGACGATGACGGGCAAGCAGATCATGATGGACGAGATGATGAAGAACGTAATAATTCAAAAACTTCATTCAAGAGGGGTAAAAGCAGTCACGGGTCATCACGTGGAGGAGGACGTGGTGGAAGTCGCGGAGGAACTCGTGGTGGTAGAGGTGGTGGTAGAGGTCGCCATTGATTTTGATTTGTAGTTAATGAAAAGGCATACAATAGTACATAGTTTCAACAAACAAGAATAAGTTTCAGAGAACAAGAATATGTTGGTACACTCAACTTCAGTGTCCACGACGAGACAGAGCAAGACGAGCAAATTCTTGTTCTTGAATAGCCAATTCCAGACGTGCGACTTCTTCTTCTAGCTCCTTGATGTCGCCTTCCAGTTTGTGATAGGTTTGAATGAGATCTGTGAGACTTTGATCATGCACTACTTCCATCTCATCGTGTTCGTCATTTGCAAGTGGTTGCATCAATGACATGGCTAGAAGATATTGATAAATATTTGTCTTGAGTCATGCATAAAACGCCCTTTTTCGGCTTTCAGTATGTTGTACTTACAACCCAACATGTCTTGTTCATTCGAAGCCAACAGTCCACGATAATCAATCTCAAGCCACTCTTCTCCTTTTGCTTGTAGCTCTCCTGAGTCATGAAGGAAGGTATGTTAAAGTAGAAAAGACTCTCTTCAGGCTGGTACATACCAATGAACTGGTCTACTCCTTCACACTTTTGGTTTACCCAAGCATCAACAGCGTCTTGATCCAATTCACGTTCACGAGATTGTACCAAGAATGAATAACAATCAGTAGCAACTCGAGTCTTGATTTGAAGTGCTGATAACTTGATTCGATGATTGCGTCTGTTGGTGATCGAAATGTTTGTACAGCACAATTTGAGCACGCGGTAGATATGATGCAACGTACTCGAGAGCATGAGTCTCAACAAGATTCTTAAAAACTTTCTGATTGTTTGAGTTGGACGACTTCCATGACGTTGCGATTGAGGTTCGAATACTAATGTGAGCATCCGATCAGTGTCATTGCAAAATCAAAACATGATCATTTCATAATCTCATACCTTGACAAATGATATTCCAAGTTCTCATCTTGTGCAGATAAAGCAGCCACAGTCTTTTCTTGCGCTTCGATGTCGCGTCTGATGACTTCAGACTCTGCTCGTGCTGAAAAGATAAATGACAAAGGGATGATGAGCTTGATGATCATATCATCCAAAAAAGGCTTGAAGGTGTACCAGCTTCAGTTCGTTGCCTGTAAGCTTGTTCTTCAGAGTCATCAACAGCTGGAGATAGTGAGACTGATGGATTGAGTTAGAAGAATGATTATAGAATGAGCGAAGAATAGTATAATATTCACCTCCACCGCTTGGACGTCCTGCTCTGATCAAGTCCATCAATGTTAAGTAAGCGAGTATGATTTTGAGTTCTGGTAAATGATGAGCGGAGAGTAAAAGGAAATACTAGGCCAATAATTGATGATTTAGCTTATAAGTGATTTTAGTCTTCACTCTAGAAAGTCTAAATGGAGGCCGACCATTCGACTGTCAACGCTTCAAGATTCAAGAGGGTTAAGTCCCTTTCTTTTCTCAAGTTCCTCCACATTAATTTCTGGCCCTGGAATGATATGGAAATACCTAAATCATTGTTTCCTATCGTCATAATTCCATGGCTCTTAACAGTTTGTGAAGTTGGCATCACATACCAAAAACCAGTCCAATCTTTTGAACACTGATTTCTACGTGAAGATTACTTCGATCGCTGCAAAACGGCGTTTCCGTTTTATCGAAGCCAAGTTGCGAAAAAGATTTGCATTACAGGAGATTGACCTAATCTATAACGAGGGTTGCAACACAATGTGTGTGAAGGACGCACGTCCATTTTCACGTTCATCCACAGCACCAAATCATATACTAAACAGCAAAGTTGGTTTTTGAATCATTAAATTTCAATCTCCATACTCGTCCAGCACCTTACATCGACTTAGAACTGCAGCTTGACGTCCGCTTGGAAAAATGTAAACCACCATCTAAGAAAGCAGTCCGTCCCATTGGTGAGTCATCCGAAAGAAGAAACAAACTACTGCCTTCGATCAGAGAACTTGGCCTTCCTCTCTGTCCTCTCTTCCCTCCATGGAACGTTGGATTGGAAAGCGGTGAGAACTTTTTTTCTTTCGGACTGCGAACGGCTTATGGCCAACCAGACCACCTTTTTTTAAAAGGTGCGAGCTCTGACGAAAAAGCCAAACAAAGGTCCATATCGCTACAATAAAAACTGCGCGATGCGTACCTTCTTGAATCTCGCCGTAGTCGTGGCAACACTGACAGCTGTACAAGGAAAATTGATCACCTTCGTCCAAAGGCCAAGTATGGCTGTTAGAACGGGAACTTTTATGGAATTGCACACGCCCAATACTAACGAACTTGTACGTGACTCGTAGTGAACATGTCTGTGGAGCCAACGACTCCCTTCAACGCTACGAACCCTCCAGTGCAATGTGAATTGCTGATCGATGACTTCCGTTCCGGAAACGGTTCTCGACCATTAACAGGTGCAATCACTGTGACTGAAAGATTCCAACAAAGAACATTGCTTAGACTCTGTGTTTTTCGTGTATAGGCCCTGCTGGTGCAGATCGTATATACGATCTCCTAGGTGGTGATTATGGAGGTGAGTATTGCCTTGTCTCAGAAAACTTTCTCTCTGGCATTGTTTCGTGTATATGAAGTAGCTTGGGATCAGCTCTTTATTCCACGTCATCTGCAAAACAAGTAGACTGAAACTCAACATCCACAACAGGCGTTGGACTTGCCGGCACTCCTCCAATCATTATCAACAACGGAACAGGAAAAATCGTTCCGTTACCCGTCCCGGTTCAATATTTCTTTGCCAAGTTTGATCCTTTTGCTTGTTTCAACTCGACAGCATGTAAGCCAGCCCATTCCTGCATTTGAAGATGTCCACATTCTAACTTTATGTAATTATCTTTCGTTAGACACACACGTGTCTATGGACTTTATCTTCCCCAACAACTCTGACTTCCAAATCGCCTTTACACAAAAGGCTCCCAACTGTGTTGATCGATTACTCGGTAAGTCGGTGTACCCAAGTACCACCTGTGCACTACACACAAATCCCACTCACCACAATTCCCCTCACACCAGACTCGAGTTATCACAACCTGACGAGCTTTATCACGCCTAATGGAACCCAGCAACACGTAAACATCCCGTTCTCAGCATTCAACACTAACGTTAACGGAACTGCATACGACTGGACCCATATAAAGGACTTGACGTTCCTCAACTTTTACCCAGCTAATGTAACATATACCTTTACCCGTATGTCTTTAATCAACTTGAATGACCCCGTCTGTGCTAAAAACTTGACTGGATTATCAACCAATGGGACTAATACTACGACAACAAATACGACCAATACTGCAAACTCGACCACCGCTGCAGCGAAATCAGGAGCTGGACATCTGATTGCTAATGCTGGTGGTATGGGAGTGTTTATGCTTGCTATGTTTAACTTGATTGCTTAAGTTAGACAAATGTAATGTCGTTGGGAACCGTCTCGTGTGGAGACGGTATTTATGCTTTAGATGGAGGGGAAGGGATTTTCCTCGGATTTTGGGAGGGGAATGAATAAAAAAAAAGTCGGTAATCTGTGATGACCTCAATGTAAACAAATTCAAATGCCTTCGTGTCTCAGTTAGGCAAGTGTGTTTAGAGTTATTCAAACGTATTCATGGTGCAAAGCTAAGGAGTTTTATTGGTTTTGTGTGCTTGTAAGGGTTGTTATGAGAGTTGTGTTTTTTTACTTGGTGTGTTTCTTTGCTGATGTGTCTTGCTGAACCCATTCAGACCAAGATCCTTTATAGTTCTTCACACTACAATACCAAAGAGCGTTGTTAGTCATCGAAAGGGCGCAGCATAAAAAAATTGCATCTGTTTTACTTTGTATAGCCGAGCTGTTTTAGAATATCTTGAGCTACACCAGCACGTTTACCAGAACGACAATACATGATGATGTGCTCATGCTTCTCTGGCTTGTGGAAGGCATGGTGTTTATGAAACTCGTCTGGATGTAGAGCAAAAGAGCGAGCCAGAGCACCCTGTTGTGAAGAGCGTGTTGAGCATCAAGTTCGTGAAGCAATGGACACAGAAACAAAACCTACCAATGGAATGTGTTTCGATTTGGGTATCATGCCTAGCTCGACTTCGTCTTGTTCTCTTACATCAATCAAAAAGAAATTCTAATCAAAAGAAGAGGAACTTAGACCGTTACATGTAACGTGTCTAACAAGGCAGGGGAGGAAAATACGACACGAGACAGGCCAACCGATGCATAATATTGCACTGATGCTACAGCAATTGACATTGGCCGCGAGGTCAAGCTTACCTGCTTATCTTGTCCATTAACAAGTCTTTCGACTGTATGAATATCTACGACATCGGTAGCTAATAAAAATTGAATGTTAATGCCAATAAACATATAGACACCTCTGTCAACCTCATCCATCATCCAAATCCCTTACTTTCTTCTGCAGTAGCAGTAGATGCACCACTTGATGCAGTCGTCAGAGTTCTCCCAGAGCTTCCATCAACACTGAGAGCATTAAGCGTGCATGGTGATGTGACGGATGCAGCAATGGGGAAGGGAGGGAAGACGGTGCTTGATACAACAAATGATCGTAGTAATGGAGTACTACATGTTGGAGAGAGTTTGCGTGGAGGGACGAGATTGACACGGATGGAATGACATCTATTTATTCTTGGAGCTAGGCGCGCAAATCCTCGGGAACTCATCCTGGTTGTATTTGTCTGTTTCTGAGTTGAGTTTGGTATGTAAGTTGGTGTTTTGTGGAAAAATTGAATGTGCTCGCCTCGAGACACAGCTGCCGACAGCTGCAACAGAAGGACCACGTGGAAGCATCGTAGATCATATTCCAAGCCCCATTCGAATGCTGATCACGTACAAATCACATCAAACGCCTTCGGACCAAACATTGTTTCTTGCTCAAGCTTTATTTGTTAAGAAAGGCGACAGTAGGAATTAGGTATAATCAAATATTTTCTTTTGTTTTGTTGGCAGATTGCAAGATGCAGTTTCAAAAGTTCTCTAGGAGTCCTTTTACATTTTTTGATTGGCAACATCTGACGTGTGCAAGACAGCAGCAGCTCTACATTTGCTGATCGGCAACATCAGAAGTTTGCAGGACAGCAGCAGCAACAACAGATGGAGAAGCTGTGGCAGCCGAAGCCAGATCACGAAGCATTTTACTGTTGAAATCCCCGGTCTCATCAACCATTTTTCCGAATTGAGAATCCGGGTTAGACAAGAGTGATTTTGGAGAATCTAATATAACATCCACAAGTAATCAGTTTCACATTTCAACAACACTCAATACTTCAGAGAACTACGTACCAAATTCGACGATTCGACCTTGATCAAGGACTAGCACTCTATCATAATCTATTATCGTATTGAGACGATGTGCAATAGTCAACACTGTTGAAGTTCCGAGGTCTTCTCTTAGTACTCTTTGGACAGTTGCATCACTAGGATTAACACGAGAGGTTAGCGTTACGCTAAATTCACAGTTACTACATAAGAGGAAGAGATACATACGTTTCGTAATCAATATTGGAAGTCACTTCATCACAGACCAGCACTCGAGGTTTACGCAAACAAGCTCTGCTAAGACACAGTAGCTGACGTTGACCAACAGAGAGATTCTCACCACCTTCAGTGATTTTCGCTTCAAGTTTACCATCCATTTGAGAGACCTTGTCCTTCATAGATGACCGCTCCAATGCCTCCCATAGATCATTATCAGTATGTTCGTTAAAGGGATCGAGGTTATATCGAACTGTTCCAGAGAACAAGGTCGGGTCTAACAAAGAATGCTGTTAAAAGAATAGCCAAAGTTGCAACAGTCACAAGTTGGGTCTATTTACCCTGCGGAATCTAGCAATTTGGAAGTAAAGCACGTTAAGAGCTTGTTCGTTATACCAAACTGAATCAAGCAAAACTTACAATGGCAAGACGAGTTCTCAAGTCATGCAGTCCTAGAGTGAGAACGTTTTCTCCATCTACTTCGATGGTTCCAGCCGATGGCTCCACCATTCTGAAAAGCGCTTGCATCAAACTAGATTTACCAGACCCTAGAAAATGGAGAGTGAGTCGTGGTACAAAAAAATTACCAATAGTACTAGATATCAAATGTAACATACCGGTTCGTCCAACAATTCCAATTTTCTCTCCATCTTTAATGTTCATCGACACGTCAGTCAGAATCAATGGCAAATCTTTGCCATATTTGAGTTGAAGATTCTTGATATTAATCTCTCCAGTGTGTGGCCATCCTTGTTTTGGTCGATGATCAGGGTTTATGGGTGCAGCTTCGACTTCCAATTGAGAGTAATGACTCAATCGTTCAACTGAGTTCATATTCAATTCGACATTGGTGAATTGTTGAACACACCACGACAGCATTTGGGTTACTGATGATGCGTATGAGAGTGAAAGACCGAGTAAGGCTGCTGAGATTGTTGCCTATAATGATGGAAGATGTTGGTGAGCAAAAGAAACAAAATACATTTCGTAATATATAGTCTTCGCTCGAAAAAAAAAAAAAACGAAAAGGTATCACATGATATCAACAATGGACTCACCCTAGCAGTCACACCAAAAGTACCAGCAAAGAACATCAACAAGGCTCCCATAAAGTTGAGACGAATACTCAACCAATACTGAGCACACAATGTCAGATAATAGACCGAGTTGTTGGTGTCAATAAATGCCTCATTTTTGCTATAAGACAGGAGGCATCAGCAACAAAAGTCAGACATCGGGTTTGATTGGACATCACATCGTACTTGATGAATTCATTTTCCATATTGTAGGCTCGAATTGTAGACAATCCCGTTAGACTCTCGCCAACATTGGCATATATTGGAGAACGAGTGATTGAGTCGAGACGCTGAAGAAGAAAAAGTAAGAAAGTGAAAGAGGTAGATGACATCATTCACAGATTCTCACCTTGAGCTCTCGAGCAGTCGTTCTATACACACTTTGAATCAGGTAATAAAATCCTAGCAATGGTACCAGAGGAGCGGCGAATATAGGTGTTGCGTAAACAATCAAGATGAAGGTACTGGTGTATGAGAGAGAGGAAAAATATTTGTTCATTGACAGTTCCAGCAAAAAGCGCAGACCCAGCCATTTACCTGACGGCACCAGAAAAGGTACTCAAAAACATCCTGATTCCATCAACCAACTGAGTGTCACATTGATCTTGATCACGAGACAATCGATTCATGATACGACCGAGGGGTGTGGAGTCGAAGAAGCTGACTGGAGCATACAACACCCGTTCAATAGCACCAAGATGTAAGGATCTTGCAGCTCGATTACCGGCTACAGCCATGAAGGCTGAGAACCCAAACCACGAGAAGGATTGGAATATTCCAAACATGACATAAATTCCAATATAGCCACTTTGGTTCAACCAAGGAGTACGGTTATCTGTCCAAATAGTGAGCCAGAAGTTGTTTCCGACAGACACGACTTGTACTAGAATGATAATAAAGACGAGAAGTGCTACAAATATCCAACCTCCTGCTGCTTTAGCATATGCCTATTAATACCATATATTGTGTGAGTACATGTACCGATATTAATCGTTTTAGGTGGTGCAATTTTTGCTTACCCAGTAAACTTTTAGCGATACAGCTCCCACCGCCTTGTCTTCTTGCACCATGAGTCCATTTCCAGCACCAGCTTTGGCTGTCTTTTGAACTTGGTCAGAGATTCTAGGTTTCCAAGAAATTTTGAGTAAGGAACAACAAAAAAGCAACGAGTGAACAATATGAATACCGCGTCAAGGCACCATCGAGCGACTTCTTTCTGGCAGCAGTGTTTCCAGCGGTAATGGAAGCATCTATGACCTCCTCTACATCATCTTCCTTATCGTCAACACCACCATACGACTTCATGAGCTCACTGAATTCTCCATTTGCATCCATGAGTTCTTGGAAGGTGCCTCTCTCAGCGACTTTACCGCCCTTCATGACAATCACTAATGTATATCATAGAGACTGTTAACTGAGACGACAAAAAAAGGAAGCGAATACAGTAGGCAGTGGAAATGTTACCATATTCAGCTCTAGATACGAAATGCAACTGATGGGTAACCAAGACTCTCGTCTTGTCTTTCAAGGTTTCTAGGATACAATTTTCAAACAGGAATCGTCCAACATGAGCTAAAAGAACCCAAGGTCAGCTTTCGCTTGAACGAGCGGAACGTCATTAAACTAATCACCATCGACAGCCGACAGAGGATCATCCTTTTTGAGAATAGAAAGTGAGATAATTGTTGAATTCGGTTAATTCTTTCGATTATCGTACCATCAACACTATATCCGAACCGAAGTACACCAATCTAGCAAGAGCGACTCTAGCCTTTTGACCACCACTCAAATTGATCCCCTTTTCACCAATTTCTGTTAAATCACCATCTGGTAGCATCCTTTTTAATGATGAATGCCAGACGGGAAAAATAATAATTAGGAAACAAAAATACGAAGACCTGGTGCATTGTTCTTCGAACACATACCCAATATCCTTTTCTAAAGCACACGTATGTAACGTGCGATAATATCGGTCTGCATCATAAGGCTTTCCAAATAAAATATTGTCTCGAAGTGTTGCATTCTGAATCCAAGGCTGTTGGCCAGCATATCCAACTGATCCACCAAATACAGTGCTTCCAGAAATACGAGTGCACTCTCCAATTAGCGAGTTAAGAATAGTACTTTTGCCTGATCAAAACATTTCACAGTTAGAGTTTTGATTAATATTGAAAATTCAAATATTTCCAATGCAAATTTGGTTACCTGACCCAACTGCACCGACAATTGCCACAAGAGAATTACGTGGTATATCTAAATCGATTTCAAGCTTGAATGGGGCGATTTCAGGTTTGAGTCGTTTTGGTATTCCACCAGCTTTAGCGTCTGGTTTGTCAGCTTCTTTACGCTGGAACCACTTTCTCTTTTTACGCTCTTCGGCTGCTGCTACTGGAGCTGCTTGAGCTTTATTTCCTAAGCTCTTGCCCAAGAATTTACCACCACCAGCGCCTTTAAACATTTCCTTCATTTCTCTTTCACGCCTAGCTACGACTTCTGGAGGCTCAGTTTCCCATATAAATTCTCCATTCGTAACTCGTATAGCACTTGGAGCGTTGAGGTCTGTTACAGGTAGATTCTGAACCTCTTCAGCTTGCAATAATCTAGATATACGGTCGATGGCGATACCACTTTCAGCCCATGCAGCAATAACCTACAGTCGAATGAGTTGCTCGTTGAGAATGACACCTTTGTTTGCTAGTGAAAATTGATTGTCCCGTGCTCTCACCAAAGGAAGGTACATGAGAGGAAAACGCATCATCGTAAAGAGACTGACTGCAGCAAAAATTCTGGATGGGTCCAAATACGGGGTCGTCACAGCATAAATAATAAAGGATATTGAGGCTGAGAGCACTGGGAATGTGAACGCAATTGATTGCAACAAAGCTCTCGTCAGAGAAGTTCGAATGATTTGGTTCATTTCCTGATGACGCAGCTCCATGATCCGGGTATAAAAGGGCACTTCCCATGCAAAGAATCTAAAGCACAAGGGTAGATGAGTAAGAAAGGTTGAATGTGATGTTGTTTTCGAACTCCTCACTTTATGACACGGATTCCGCTGAGGGTTTCCTGCGTTTGACGAACTCTCTGGTCAGTGATTCCAGCAGACTGTTTTCGGATGGCTGCAAGTCGTTTCCACATTCGTTCCTGTACGGGTTGCAGGGCAATCAAAAGGAAAAATCCAGCGACCGCAGCAGGTCTACACAGTTGAAGATGATATTTAGTGTCTGTATGTTATTACGTGCATTAAAAGTAACACACCCAAGTTGAATGAACAGAACAATGAAAATGCCAAGCAACATAATAGGCGCAGTCCAGAGCAAATGACAATTAGAAGCAAACATTTCCAGACGAGAGCAATCTGCAGCAATGATATTGGTAACCCTCCCTATAAAAAAAGTGACGATTATTTTTTTTCGACAGATGCAAAATATGCATACAAGTCAATCTTTCGTTTCGTATTCCGACACTAACCTGCATTGAACTCTTGTCTAGACACCGCGGATAATCGTAAAGCTTTCTTATAAACCACACTCGTGAGGGTAGCTCTGACGGCCATACCATGGCCAGCTGAAAGCACTTGGAACCTGTTTTGGAATACTGCTGACATTATTTGTAAAACAAACAGGACTATGACCCAAACGAAACCCATATACAGAGGCGGGGGATTGGGAGACGTGGCACTTTTTTGCACGAATATTATGATCTATGCTAGCGATGATGTTACTGACTCTTCATTTTAGAATGATCAAGCGACGTGCGAATTACCTGTGCCAATAGGAGCGGAGAGGTCAATTGGCAAACGTCTCCAATAAACTTGTATACACCACAATCCCAAGCTTTGGGAAACCACATAAGGAACAATGCTCGACTCAGCGACACTTGATCTTTTGGTGGCATAGGGTTTTTTGGTATTAGCTTTTTGAAGAATGACGGCTTTACATCATCGTCAACAACGAGATTCTCCTTCTCGTTTGGTTTCTTGTTTTTGGTCTCTTCCATCGGTTTTCTTGCGAGCTCTGAGTGCCAGATCCCGTCGAATTCACGTACTAGTTCATGCACTTTGAATCGAGAGGAGATTGTGTACATGTCGTCTATGGTAAGAGAGTTCTTGTATCCTAACGAGATGCAAAGTCAGCAACACTGCAGAACCCCACGATCAGCATGGCAACCACAAACCCTTGTAGAAGATCTTGTCCATCCAGAGTAAAAGCCATTTGGATACGATATCTGGTCGAAAAATGTGATTTGTTTGAGGAGAACTGATCGTCCTGAGTGGAAAACTTCGAAAGATGTTTTTTTGAAATTGTGCATACTAGCGGATTGTTCTGGAAGCACGGGACGTTGATCGTTTGCATCTTGGCTCTTTTCTGGACTTGCGATTCGAGGAGCGGCATCTATTCCAGTGGTTCCTTTTGGATCCTACGAATTGGTCGATTTGGTGAGTGAGTGGAAAATGTCTGGTGACGAAATGCGAACAATGGAGGCATGGAAGGGTATCGAGGATACTACTCACCACTCCCTTATATCCGCTTGTCATTTTGGGCCAGCTGCTAAATAGCGAACGCTTTGCCGAAAACCGAGATTTTTGATCGTCCAGTTTTGCAGCATGGGGTTTTGTAATCCAACTACATAAAGTGGTTAAATATCACCCGATTTTGTTAGGAGACCTTAGGTTCCCATCTACAAAATGAACGCGACCGCAACAGTTCTGACGGTTCTGAGACGTTCCAATACAGGGCTGCACGTGAGTGACACGTCACCTCGTGTGAAAGGGTGTATAATCAGTCTGCAATAAGAAACTTGCTGCTAAAGGCCAGCCAACAACGTCCAGACCCGAGTATCGTTATACTTATTCCAACATTTATTTGTAAATCATATTGTTCTAGCTGTACATGTGAAAGTATCTACGGAAGCAAGCTCTATCCTAGATGTTGCTACGTAGTAGATCTGTTGCTGAAGAGAAAATCATTTATCAGCCGGCACATTGGCTATCTTTGCCAATCCTCCGCTTGCCTCTACGTCCCACGAGAGGCTCTCGGTCTTGCAGGGATCGTCAATCAGCAATCGTCATCAGTGCACTTACAACAAAACAACCGGTTACGACCTTTGTGAACTGGCTAAGACTCCTTTGTTGTTCCTATATAGCAGCTCTGGATGTAACAAGTAATACCAGCATAAGACATCGTGCAGACAGTGCAGGGCCTGTCCACCTTGGCCAAGGCCTTCGCAGCCTTCATTCGCATATTCAGCATCAGGAATGCTGCGGGCATACTGGCCGCTTGAAGTATTGTTATGTAGAGGTTTGTCGAGGAGTTGTTTCTCATTTGCAATGGTTGCTGAGTGTGAGGCCAAAGGCAAAGAAGATTGTCGGCCAAGCACCATAGTACAATCACCACAACGACCGATTGTACATTGACTGGGGAAGCACCAAAGACGGTCCAAAGTATGCCACGACTTCTAGTCAAATGTGGCGAGTTTTGGGGCGATAGTGAGAGTTTACGAGAATTTCAAACAACTTTATCTTAACATCTGACAATCCAATGACGGCCATCATATTCCTCGGTGTAGTTCAAGCCGTTTTGACAAGCAGCAACAGCGTTCTTGATTTCGTATCTAAGAATGTTGAAAACAGGTGCTGCATGTAGTTCAGAGCGGGGAGATTGCTCGCCATACTGACCATCACCGTCTTATGAGTCACACCGTCATACGATGCTGTCTCAAGGCCATCATTGGATGATCCTGTCGTTTGAAAATAATCGACTTTACATTATTCGTCTTGGGTTTTTCTTGGTTCCCATCTGTTCAGCGACAAGACTTACAGTCTAATTCTACGCGATGATGAAGTATTTTAGTATTTAGAACGTGTAAACGAGTCGTAGCTCTTTACAACGAAAAGTTGAAACCGATTCTTGTGCTTTTTTGCAGACACGTGGGCGAAGTTCTCCCCACGAGTTAACGAGTCACTTCCACGCCATACATATTGATTCCTTATATAAAATGACATGCCCCATCTGTTACATCGTGCTATCTCAAAGCAAAGCTTTTGGTTTGACTAAACTTCGTCACTAATAAGGTTTCAAACCTGTTTGCACGTTGCAATTATTGCGGCATATGTTGAAGGTTCCTCGATCTCGGTGATACTTGGACACTATAAATAGTGAACAACCACTTTGTCATTCCATCTTTCATTCAAACTCAAAAGCTCAAAGCATCACAACACAAGCTAATTAACTTCAGAAACAACCAATTAAACAACATGCCTAACGCTAAACAGGACGCCAAGGTACTTCAGTAGTTCGAATTTGACATTTGTATTTAGTGCGCTCCGCCACTCTTTACTCCACCACCGTTGCTAAGTTTCACATTTGCGTCAATCTTTAGAACACTGCCAACAGCATCACTGACACTGTCAAGGAAAAGGCTCAGGATATCGCCGACTATACCTCTGATACCTACGAGTCAGCAAAAAAGACTGTCTCAGACAAATACGAGGAAGCCAAGTCTGCTGTCTCGTCTAAGTACGATGATGCTAAATCTGCCGCCTCATCCAAATACGATGATGCCAAAGATGCCGCTTCAGACTTTGGTCAAACGTAAGTTATTAGACAGTACTCAAAATATTCAATCTTGAACTTCCACCAACCTGCATCTGACTTCCAACCTGCATTCTGACAACTTACAATCATTTTAATACAGTGTCTCAGACAAGGCTGAAGACGCCAAGGACAGTGCTAAATACCATGCCAATGCTGCTGGTGACAAGGCTAGTGAACTAGCATCAGACGCCAAACACTCTGCTGCCAGCACAGCTCACGAAGCTGGTGACAAACTGCACGAAGCTGGTGACGCTGCAGACCCCACTCTATACGAAAGGGCCAAAGGTACCGTTAGCGATGCTGCCACTGCAGTGTCAGACACTGCTAGCAGCGCCGCTTCTAAAGTCGGTGAAATGTTGGGATACAACAAGGAATAAAGTACCCAAGTGTTAGCACTACTTAGATAGTGATAGTCATGGGCGTAAACCATTGCACAATTTGTAAACTAAAGTAAAAACCTCAGGAATAAAACTGGCAACTCTTATATGTAACCACCACTGTCACAAAGTCACTTCTTACTGTTTTACACTTACTGATATTTACCGGATCTTGGTTTCAGTCAAGTTCGAAAGACTGGCATGGAAAGATCCGACCCTTGAGCACAGAAGCGTAGGGGATCACCTTCTCAACTACACTCTCTTTGTTCATATCGCCCTGGCAAACTAATCACCTTCTCAACTCTCTTTGTTCATATCGCCCTAGCAAACACTTCTATTATCCCGCACATCGTATATCTCAAAACCTTTTGCACTGATGAAGTTGTTGATATCTGTTTCAATGAAATTATATTCTAACAAAGTAAACAAGCCATTGAAACACAATCGGATTTGATACAAGGCATCTGAGCCAAAAAGTTCTTCAGCACTGGGGACTACCATGTCGACATCAGCACAAAAGGAGGAAAGAAAAGAAGTTTCCACGAGCTCGAGTGACTGAAATTCAGCAACTTTGTGGATGGCAACTTCTCCATCAACCATCCTCAAAATGACACAACGAGACACTCATGGAACCTTCACTATTGGCTAGTTCCGCATCAGCCCGCATCAGCGATGCGAGTTGAGTTCAGAATCAGCTAATTTGCCTTCGTTGTTCAATACATTCGTACGATCATGGAATTCAATGTGTTTCTCCATTCCATCAATGCAATTTGGCCACGATCAACATATTGCTTTGAATATCGGTCTTTATCAGATTTGACAATAGTGAGTACGAAAACTGCAATATTGGGGATTAGGTTGGGAAGGAGATTGCTCGTTGGATGAATGTGCTGTCGGTCGTTTTGAAGATGTTGCGCATTAAGTCAGAATCAATCGACACGGCAGTCGAGTCTTAATATTGAGGAGTCCATGTACTTTGGCAAGAATGACAGCTGAATAGGACACAGATGTCAATATTGACCAAAACGACTAAAAACTTACGTTAGATTGCTGAGCAGAACAGAATAAATGAAAAGCAGCTTTACCTATAGCCTGGTCGTCGATAGATCGTCTTTAAGTACATGTAAGAGCCTCAAAATTTATCTCTAAGAAGTTCCGTCATGTCCGTCGTCGTCATATCGAAATTTGAGGGAGGTTTGGAAGCGGCGGCATTTTTCGGAAGGCGACAGTTACAGCCAGGAAGTGGCAACTAGCCCAGGATTCGAATTATTTCGTGTCAATCTAGATCATATTCCACCTTGCACGTGCAAATTCCCATAGTTGCCTTATGCTTAAGGTTTAAAACCGTTTGGCCGCTGATAGCGAAAGTGATGGTTCGTCGATCACGGCGATACCTTGACACTATAAATAGTGGATAACGTTTCACACATCTCTACATTCATTCAAACTCAAAAGCTAATAACAACAACACAACATCAAAGCTACTCGCCTCTCGTCAATAACAGAACAACAAACATGACTAAATCAGCTAAACAAGATGTTAAGGTACGTCGTCGATCATGTCTGCATCGACCTTTAGTTCGCATCATTCTCTACCATACGACCTTGGCTAATGATCACCTTTTCGTCATTCTATTAGAACGCTGCCAGCGACATCTCCGAGAAGGTTAAGGACACTGCCCAAAGTGTAGCTGATTCTGCCTCAGAAAACTACGAATCAGCCAAGAAGACTGTATCAAAGAAGTACGATGAAGCCAAATCTGCTGTCTCGGACAAATACGATGATGCCAAGGATGCTGCCTCAGACTTAAGTGAAAAGTACGTGCTTGTGCCTTCCAATCATGACGACTTATATGCGTTCCTTCAACCTCATGATATCTCATTTCTAACCTTCCGATCGTCACTTCTATTAGAGCCTCAAACAAGGCCAAATCCGCCAAGGACACAGTCAAAGATCATGCCAACGCTGCAGGTGACAAGGCCAGTGAACTAGCATCAGATGCCAAACACTCTGCTGCTAGCACAGCTCACGAAGCCGGTGATAAACTACACGAAGCTGGCTCAAATGCTGACCCAACCATCTACGAAAGAGTTACCGGTACCGTCAGTGATGCTGCCACTGCTGTAGCAGACACAGCTAGCAGTGCTGCTTCCAAAGTTGGTGAAATGTTGGGATACAACAAGGAATAAGCTTCCGGTAATAGCACTTGCAATTAGTGAGTAATTGTGGGAAGAGAACAATATGTATAAAGTAAATGCCATGCCTCAGCAATACAAATTTAAAACTGTCTGATATATAAATAATGTCTTTGCAAATGCGTGTTCCATTGCTTCTGTTTGATTTTACTTGTGTGGTACAGCTGAAACACTCAATGGAAATTTGAATTCGATCACCCGTCTTGTCTCTATTAATATGATGAGTTCAATCTCTACACACTCATGCCATCAATACGTGCTCAGTAAAGAGCAAAATGACTCGGTGTATAGATTAATGTTGGTGTCTGGGATCTCAAGAGATGTTAGACAGAGGACCTTTGCTGAAAGTTGCAAATGAGCCCAGTGAA